CCCCACCGCGCGGCCAGCACCTCCGCTGAGTCCACCTGGGTCGCAGGGTCCCCGCAGCCCGAGGAGCGCGGGCGGCCCCGGCGGCAGCGCTCGGTCAGCAAGGAGAAGTGGGTGGAGACGCTGGTGGTGGCCGACGCCAAGATGGTGGAGTTCCACGGGCAGCCGCAGGTGGAGCGCTACGTGCTGACCGTCATGAACATGGTGAGGGCTGTGAGGCCTGGCCGTGGGGGTGGGGGTCACGCGCCCCGCTCACCAGCCAGCCATCTGGGTGGGGGACAGCGCTCTGCGGGCTGGTGGCAGAGCTGGAGAGCACCCAGGGCCCTCGGCACTGTGGCCTTTGGCATGGCTGCCCAAGCCCAGATGACCGCAGGGCACTGCCCCTTCTGCCTGGATGCCGGGTGCGGGCTCCCGGGTGTCCCGCCCGCCTGTCCAGAGCGCTCCCCGTTTCTGGGCCCCGGAGGCCACGGCTGGGAGCCCGCCAGGCGCGGGCCCCACTCCCAACACAGCACTCCCCTGTGCCAGCGGGGCCCCTGACTGACGAGGGGCAGGCCCCAGGATCTGGCCAATGGGGAGCAGACTGCCACTACCCCACAGGGAGTATGGCCGCCGGAGCTTCCGTCAGAGTTTGGGGCTCCCAGAGTGTAGAGGGACCCAGCTGCTGGCCCAGGATGGCGGATGCAAGGGACGTCAGTGCAAGCAGGCCGCAGACTGGGCGCTGGGGGACCCGCCCCTGCTCTGGGGTCGCCGCCCTCTGGCCACAGCCACGAGCCCTGTGGGCGCTGAGGGAGCCGATGGTGCTGTCTGCGGGAGACCTTCCTCCCGTCTGCCGGGGCGCCCTGGCCAGCAGCTGGGGTGGGCGGGCAGAGCTGGGGAGCCCCGAGCGCCACACCCTCCCCAGCCTTGAAAGGCTCAGCTCCTGGCTGCGGGACGGGGTGCTTAAGGGCTGGGGGGCGCCTGGGTCAGTGCTGGAAGCCTCCAGGCGGGCTCCGGGCCGGGGGCCTGGGCGGGGCCTCGAGCAGTGTAGGCGGGCGGCTGACCGGCTGACCACCGACGGCCTCTCCGGGCAGGTAGCGGGCCTCTTCCACCACCCCAGCATCGGGAACCCCATCCACATCACCATCGTCAGGCTGATCCTGCTGGAGGAGGAGGAGGAGGAGGTAAGAGGGCCCTGGCCCAGCCCCCACCTGCCAG